GTTCCATCTCCAGTCGTCAGTTTCCCTGACCTTCTCTTTTCTCTCTCCTGCACAGCCCCCCCATTCACACCTGATGTGTTTTAGCCTCGTTCCTCACACTCTCTTGTCTCCTCTGCTCCCTTACTTCAGAATCCAGCTGCCGTCCTCTCTGTGACCCTCCGGCTATCCACACTGACCCTGGGCTCAGCCCCACAAGCACACATTCCTCGGTGTTGAGTTGTGTAAACTTGCTCTCCCTATTCCCCCTCTAATAACCATCCCAACTAGTGTCCAGGCCTTCTTCCCTGACCTCTGCAGTGCTTGTCCTGAGGGGTGCTGACTGAACTCTGTCAGGGAACTGGAGGCACTGTGTGAATCTCTCTTTCAGATCCCCAGGAACCTAACATAACAATTCAGCAAACTCTAATTTTCCCCCTCATGTGGGCACTTCCAGTCTAGTACAGGGATGTTTACATCCACCTGCTGCCTCTTTGATTTGCTCTGCTCTGGGCATTGACAGTGCAGATCCTTAAGAGGTATCCCGCACCTGAGTGGATGACGAGGCAGGGAGTCTCCCAGTGGTTATGATGATCCTAGCATCTGCTCTCAAGTGAGGGCTGCCTCTGACCATCAGAAGGCATGTACTGTCCAAAGCCCTTCAGATTTATGATGATATTTTTGGTAGCTTTAAGAACATTAAGGGTAAGGTCCAAGGTCCCTGAAGCCTCATACATTGTATTTATGCTGACTCCAACTAGGCGTCTGGCTCAGTGTCAACAGACTACCTGCTGTTTCATCCCAGGGATGGCACAAGTACAGTAGCGGCTGCTGGCAGCCCCAGCCTAGCTGGTGAGAGCAGCAGATTGCCCCTGCTGTGAAGGGTGTCAGAGCTAGACCCAGGATTCCAGGGCTCCTGAGGCAGTGCTGGTGGAGCCGGACACCACATTGGAGAGAGTGCACCTGGTCAAGATGATCAGCCAGGGCTGGGAACTTCTGGGTGTGCACTTTAAGTTTCTTACAACCAAGGAAAAGTTTCCCAAGCCCTCTTCCTGTCCTGCCATTCTTTCTGAATGTTGTCATTGTCACCTACAGCCACGTGTGCTGTGTGCTCCTTCAGCGCATCACCTAAGGCATCTTCTTCCTCCTCAGACAACAGAGGTTAAGTTCATGAGAAAGAGGAAGACAGTGTGTTTAGCTCTAACATGGGCCCCTTTAAATCACACTAAATATTGTCGAAAAGAATTTGCCTAGATCCATAATTTTGCCATGAGTATTGATACAACAGAGATGCCCATGGTCCTTAGTCCACAGGGAACAATGTGTCGAGCCAAGAAACCTTGGTGACAGGCACTTGATAAGATGCCTTCATTCAGTGTCATCACTGTAAGTTCTGGGCTCTGGCCTCCATCTTTGGAGGCCCCGTCCCTTGACCCCTCCCCTGGAGGAGGGGCAAGGCAGCCCCCCAAAACCTTGACTCCTCCCCCAGTCTATTAAACTGCTCCCTTGAAAGTCCCTTGGTGGCCTTTTCTCCCCCACCTCATGGTCACATTTGCGGCTTCCAGGTTCCCCTCGGGTCCACCCAAGAGCACAGGAATTCCATTAAACCTGGATACTTTTTAATTCTGCTCGTTGTCATTTGGCTTGATTGGGATTGGCAGAGAGCTCGTGTTAGGAAAATTCCTAACAATCACTACCAAAATATTTGTTCACTGGTGACTCTGAGGCGGAGCACAGGGGTGTAGGATCAGAGCAAATACTCCGAACTCAGAGTGCTAGTGATGTGTTACATTGGTTTTGCTGTGGAACATTTGTTTAATGTTGCAAAGACATGTTGCATTCTTTTATGTTGCATTTGTTTAACTCTGAAGCTGTGTTACTTTCCCTTTCTAAAACACCCGATCCATTCAATAAAGACCTGAACAGCCAATAGCAAGGCAGGAGAAAGGATAGGCGGGGCTGGCAAGCAGAGAGAATAAATAGGAGGAGAAAGATATGCAAAAATAGAGAAAGGTAAAGCCCAAAAGCAAAAGGTAGGTAGAATAATTTAGGTTAAGAAAAGCTGGCAAGGGAGTAGACCTAAGTCAGGACCCCTGAGGGTCTGGGCATGAGCCTAGGACTTCTGAGGAGCTAGGCCTGAGCCAGGTCTGCTGCAGGTCTGGGTGTGAATCTGGGACCTCCGAGAAAGTAGGCAAGAACCAGAGATCTCTGCAGGTTCAGGCAAGAGTCTAGGATCTCAGAGGGAGTAGGCTTGAGCCAGGACCTCTGTGGGTACAGGTGTTGGTCTGGTACACAAAGGCAACAGGCAGGAAGCAAAAAAATCTGTGGGTCTGAGCCTGAGTCTGGGACCTCTGAGGGAGTAAGCCAAAATCAAAAACACTGATGACAACTTATGCGGGAGAGGTTGTGGGGTAAAGGGAACACTCCTGCATTGCTGGTGGAAATTCAAGCTGGTACAGCTTCTTTGGATGTCAGTGTGGCGATTTCTCAGAAAATTAGGAAACAACTTTCCTCAAGACCCAATAATACCACTTTTGGCTATATATCCAAAGGATGCTTAATTGTGCCACAAGGACATGTGCTCACCTATGTTCATAGCAGCATTGTTTGTCATAGCCAGAAACTGGAAACAACTTAAATGCCCCTCGAATGAAGAATAGATAAGGAAAATGTGGTACATTTACACAATGGAGTACTACACAGCAGAAAAAAATAACATCTTGAATTTTGCAGGCAAATGGATGGAACTAGAAAACATCATTTTGAGTGAGGTAAACTATTGTAGTGAGAGACTGCTTGTTCATCCCGGCCACCCAGCTAGTTTAGCCCCAAAATAACCACACAGAAATTGTATTAATTAAAATACTGCTTGGCCCATTTGCTCTAGCCTCTTATTGGCTAGATCTTGATTTACATCTTGATTTAACCCATTTCTATTAATCTGTATATCACCACGTGGCAGTGGCTTACCATGAAAGATTCAGCATATCTGACTCTGGCGGCTCCATGGTGGCTCTCTGATTCTGCCTCCTTTCTCTCAGCATGCCATTTAGTTTTCCCCGCCTACCTAAGTTCTGCCCTATCAAAAGACCAAGGCAGTTTCTTTATTCATTAACCAACAAAAGCAACACATAGAGAGAAGGAACTCCTACATCTGTAACCCAGACCCAGAGAGACAATTATCACATGTACTCACTCATAAGTGGTTTTTAAACATAAAGAAAAAAAAACAGCCCACAGATCACAATCCCAGAGAACATAGACAACAGTGAGGACCCTAAGAGAGACATACATGGATCTAATCTACATGGGAAGTAGAAAAAGACAAGATCTCCTGAGTAAATTGGTAGCATGGGGATCTTGGGAGAGGGTTGAAGGGGAGGGGAGAGGCAGGGAGGGAGCAGAGAAAAATGTAGAGCTCAATAAAAATAATTTAAAAAAGAAAAAAAATGTCATTATATGTCTGCAAAGAAGGGGTGTGATGGAAACTTGGGTCATTTTTGACCGCCAGAGTCCCTGGAGAATTCTGGAGGGAGGGAGACCAGAAGGTCTTATAAAGATGCCCGTGAGAACTGTGTCACTAGAATTGATCTGTTTTTGTCCCTGTTAGTGATGTGCTGGCCTTAATGCCAGGTTTCTCTAAATGCCGAGTTCTCTGTATGTATGCAAAGTCAGTCCTTCTCTGTCGCCTAGGGCAGCAGTCCTAAGGTGGCGTAAGTCTGCTGCAAGATGAGTATTTTCCTACAGGGTGGGCCTTCTGCTGTGTTGCAGCCCCGTGATTTGCTGCACTAAATGCAGGACCACACTGCAGCCAGAGAGAACAGCAAGAAACTTCCAGCTTGGAGCCCTCCCAGGTTGTGCCCTGTGGGTCTATTTATTGGTTGCTAATTAGTGCCCTTGCTCTGTGGTCAACTAGAACTATGTGGCAACCATCTTCCATGAGTGGGTCCTTCTGGAAAAATCTTAGCCCTGTGATTGGTTTAGAGAAGTCCATAGCTTGCACTCAGTACGTGTGCTCGATAGTTTTATGTCCATTTGATACAAGCTGGAAGTTTCTGAGAAGAGGGAACCACAGCTGAGAAAAGGCTTCTTAAGTTCAGGCCATCGGCAAGTTTGTAGTGTGTTTCCTTACTATGTGATTGATGTTGGAGGTCCAGGGAGAAGAAAGCAGGCAGAACAAGGCAAGAACAAACCAGAAAGCAACAGTCCTTCATGGCTTCTGGGTCAGCTCCTGCCTCCAGGTTCCACCTGTTAAGCTCCTGCCCTGACTTCCTTCGAAGATGAACCATGATATGGAAGTGTAAGCACAATAAACCCTTCCCTCACCAAACTGCTTTCGGTCACAGTGTTCATCGCAGCAATAGAAACCCTACCTAATGACGTCCGGGCCAGAGTTGCAACTGAGGGCCATGTTGGGGTTCATGGACCTACTGAAGCCAGGGTCTGTGCTGATATCTGATGTTCCTGTTACCATCGAGGGCCATACAGACACCCGAGATTGAGGGCCATGTGGGTGTCTGAGGGCCATGCAGTGGTGATATCCAGATCCAGTTGCTGCTGAGGACCGTGTTAGGGTCTGTGGTCCTACCACCGCTGGGGTCTATGCTGAGGTCTTAGTTCTGCATTGCTACCAAAGGTCACAAAGAAGCCCATCCCTAGACTACAGTTCTGCCCTCCTGAACCTCCCCATCATCAGAAAGTACCGAGAGATGCATGAGAAATGGACCCATGACTGTGGAGAGTACCCAGTTTATCCCTTCTCCACAATTCAATGAAAAGCAATATTCCTACTTTTGAGAGCTAGCATTCTGATACCACAACAGTCAGAGCTGTGTCCCCTTTACTTGCAATTTCAAGCCCGACTGAAGCCTCATCTCTATGGCCTTCTTTCTTGGCTCTATTTGTATCTCAGCCAGGCCAGCATTGCTGCTGGCACTATCAGCTCCTGTCCATGAGTCATCAGCAGGGTGGTGCCTGGCAGGCATCGTGCCTGATGGGTAGTTTTATCATGAGGGGCCACAAGCCAGAAAATGCTCTTACAATTTCGGGCACTGTGTCTATGAGGCCCAGGCCTTGTGTCTGACTGTGTCTCTCAGCTGTGCGGCTGGTGACTGAATGCACACAGCTAAGGACAGCTGAGACCCATCCAAACTTGGCTACAAGAAGATCTCTAGGTGAGTTGGGAATCATCTCCTCCACATGTTTATCCTCTCAAGGGCTCTGGAGGAGGAGGGTTATGGCCACATTTTATGGAAGAGCTCAGCAAGGCTAGACACAGACAATGGTGCAGGTCACAAACTCAGTAGCATGCATGACTGGACTTACAGTCAGAATGGGGTCTGTCTGTTTCTCCTTCCTCCACTGCTGTCAGCTCAGGAGAGGGTGTGGGATCCCTCAGATGGGATGACCGCACTGCCTGGACTCTGACCCTGCTTGCAGGTCAGCCTGAGACATGACCAGAGGCCCTAGAAAGAAGGCAGCTATTGACTGTGCTAGCCGTTTTTGAAGAGCTACAAAACAGAAAACGGATGGAAGTTGGGATTGGGCCCAACCTAATGTGTGGCACAGACACCCAAAGCTGTTCTTGGGGTACTGCTGCTGCACCAATGGGAATAAGGATTTATTAAGGGGTAGAGGATGACTAAGGGGTGCTGGCTCATGTGGTCTTTGTGGACTATGCTATGTCAGGCACTGTGGAGAAACTGAGGCATAGCAGAGCGTGACTTGCCTAGGTTGCCTGGACAGAGGCTGAACAGGTGGGTGGGAGGCTACACTCCTTGTCATCAGATGCCCTCTGCCTAGTCTGTGGGAGACAGAGGAGGAAACCAAGGCTGTCCTGTGTGTGCAGGTGTGGAAGGGACCCAGGAAAGGGACTGAGAGTGGGCTCAGTGCAGAGTCCCCAGGACCATCCCACCCTGGTAGACGGAGCTAGGATTGGCTGCCCCGCTGAGCCCCCATCAGGCTGCTCTCCACCTGTGGGTACTGGGAGGCTGTGCAGCGGCATGGGAGACACTGATCCCTCGGATGACGAAAGTGTGGAGAGAAGGTGGAGGACCAGTGTGGACATGCCACTGGTGAGAAGGCAGGGAAGGTTCTCCAGAGGGAGGTGCAGACGGGCCCCGCCATGTAGGCGAGGTGAAGAAGGTCACAAATGGCACAGACTTTATGGGTCATTGGAAGAATAGAGTGTGCTATCCTTCAGGAAGCCTTAGAGTAGCCAGGGTTTGGAGTGTATGAGCCCCCGCCACCTCCAGCTGTCACGGCATGTGCCTTCACCCTCCCTGCAGCTGTCACTGCACATGCCCTCACCCTCCCTGCAGCTGTCACTGCACATGCCCTCACCCTCCCTGCAGCAGTCCCTGCCCTGCCCTCACTCTCCCTGCAGCTGTCACTGCACGTGCCCTCATGCTCCCTGCAGCAGTCCCTGCCCTGCCCTCACTCTCCCTGCAGCTGTCACTGCATGTGCCCTCACTTTCCCTGCAGCTGTCACTGCACACGTCCTCACTCTCCCTGAAGCTGTCACTGCACACCTCACTCTCTCTGCAGCTGTCACTGCACACCTCACTCTCCCTGCAGCTGTCATTGCACCTGCTCTCACTCTCCCTGCAGCTGTCACTGCACGTGCCCTCACTCTCCCTGCAGCTGTCACTGCACACCTCACCCTCCCTGCAGCTGTCACTGCACGTGCCCTCACTCTCCATGCAGCTGTCACTGCACGTGCCCTCACTCTCCCTGCAGCTGTCACTGCACGTGCCCTCACTCTCCCTGCAGCTGTCACTGCATGCCTCACCCTCCCTGCAGCTGTCACTGCACGCCTCACCCTCCCTGCAGCTGTCACTGCACATGCCCTCACTCTCCATGCAGCTGTCATTGCACATGCCCCCAGAGTGTCACTGCACACGCCCTCACTCCCTGCAGCTGGGAGCTGATCACTGCCCCTCTGCTGCCTGACATGCAATCTGAGCACACTCACTCACTTTCCCCATCTCTGAAGGCAATGTGAGCACAAGAGAACATGAAGTTCTGCACATGAACTGTTAGCTAGTCCACTTGTGGCATTAGGGGTTGCACTCAGGGCCTCATTCACACTGAGGGGGCTTTCCACCACAGAACTGCAGCCCCCAGACTCGGGGCTGTTTGTTCTTTGTACTATGGTCTCTATGAGAAGCCTCAGCTGGCCTCAAACTGTCAGCATCCACCCTCCCTCAGCCTCTCTGTGCTGAGGTTACCTCATGCACAGTCAGATCTGCTGTTTCAGGCTACTGTGCACTAGGAAGTCTAAGGAGAATGCCCACCCTTGTGCACTGCCCGTGTGAATGTGGGTTTGGTGTGGGAGAATTGTCTGTATTCTGTCAATCATATTTTAATAAAACACTGATTGGCCAGGCAGGCAGTATCGGCGGGAAAGCCAGACAGGAAGTAGGGGTGGAGCAAAGAGACTGGGAGTTTTCTGGGACACAGGAAGCTCTCTAGCCACTCCTACGCAGACAACTGAAGAGGCAGCATGTAACTTGCCCAGCTGAGAAAGGTACGGAGCCATGTGCTAAAGTAGATAAGGATAATGGGGTAATATGTGTCATAAGAGCTAATAAGTAGCCTGACCTAATGAGCCAATCAGTTTATAACCTTATGGAGTCTTGTGTGTGATTTTCTTTGTTGCTTGCCGGCTGTTGGGGTACTGGGAGGGACAGAAACCCCAACAAGCCAGCCCTTCATGTTACATATGGTGCCCAGACGTGGATAACTGAATCCACAGAAAGCCTGAGAAAGCTTGGAAAAGAATAGAGTAAAGCATGGCTTCTTGGTGGCAGCAATTTCTCAGGTCTACTTTGCTTGCTAGAGGCAAGCAAGCACTCTCATCTGAGAGAGGCTTCCTGACTCAGCTTCAGCTGCAAAACCTTGCAGCTCTTTAAAGAGGTCCTGCCACAAAACACTTAAATGTTGTTGATGACAAGCTGAACGCATTCTTTTCAGTTTTCAGCTGTAGCAGGAGAAAAGCTGTGCTGTTTTAAAATGCCGGCTATCTGGGCTGTCCTGCCAGAGCAAACTCTGACTCTTTCAGGCAGGCAGTCCGACTGAGTGTGGTCTGTGAGCAGAATGCTGCAGCTTGCTAGCAAGGACCTTGAAACGCCATAGAGTTGTGGCAGTGAACACAGCTCTGGCTGGTACCTCAGCCTTGAGGCTGAAAAGCTAAGGAATGAGCTGGATCTAGCCGTCAAAGCCACAGCTCTCCATATTGCTTAGTAAATTAAAGACTCATATGGTCAGAAAAAGAAAAATATACAGTAAAGAGAGATTCAAAGAGGAAGAAAACCTCTAAATGGTTTACAGTGTGTATATGCAGGCTAAAAGTGAAAGTTCTTAAAGTTAAAAGGAAAGAAAGAGAGTAGTTGGGTGTGGTGGTACACACCTTTAATCCCAATGCCTGGAAGGCAGAGGCATATTGACCTCTGTGACTTCAAGGGGTAGAGGTAGATTGACCTCTGTGACCTCAAGGTGTGGTAGTACACGCCTTTAATCCCAATGCCTGGGAGGCAGAGACAGATCTCTGTGAGTTCAAGGTGTGGTAGCATACACCTTTAATCCCAGCACTGGGGAGGCAGAGACAGGAGGATCTCTGTGAGTTCAAAGACAGCCTGGTCTACAGTGTTATTCCAGGACAAAGATATACAAAGATCCTGTCTCAAAAAGTAAAAGTAAAAATAAAAGAAATAGAGGTTAAAATAAAGCCACATAAAGATGGAAAATGCACAGAGAATCTTCATACTGTATGCTATTATGCTCTCTTTAAATTGTTTGATTGCTGAGGAAGGAGCAACAACTGCTAAAAGACTTTTGTTTATAAATGCTGCAGAATTAATCCAAGATAGACATTTTGAAAATACCTTGGCTTCAAAACTGAAGTCAAAAGGTTTGTTACTTTGGAGAAGAGATTTTGCTTGTGTTTCCACAGAAAATGAGAGCCTCTGGATTTATTCAGAGTTAAGAAAATTCATCTTTGGCCAAGGGAGACCACCTGAGCAATCTCCGGTAGGAACAGATGGCCCAGATGTCTGAGTTCTACATACAGAACGGATTCAAGGCACTGCCTGAGATGATCAGGTCTCACAGGATACTCCAGTCAGGACTTGATTATAACTCTAAATTTTCTTTAGGTCCCCATAAGATCATCAGCGCCCCCAACCAACAGGAAGTAGCCTGAAATACTACGCCCATATTCCCAACAAATGGACTATGGGTATTTTCTTTTGTTTAAAAAAAAAAGAGGGAAATGGTGTGGGAGAATTGTCTGTATTCTGTCAATCATATTTTAATAAAACACTGATTGGCCAGGCAGGCAGTATCGGCGGGAAAGCCAGACAGGAAGTAGGGGTGGAGCAAAGAGACTGGGAGTTTTCTGGGACACAGGAAGCTCTCTAGCCACTCCTACGCAGACAACTGAAGAGGCAGCATGTAACTTGCCCAGCTGAGAAAGGTACGGAGCCATGTGCTAAAGTAGATAAGGATAATGGGGTAATATGTGTCATAAGAGCTAATAAGTAGCCTGACCTAATGAGCCAATCAGTTTATAACCTTATGGAGTCTTGTGTGTGATTTTCTTTGTTGCTTGCCGGCTGTTGGGGTACTGGGAGGGACAGAAACCCCAACAAGCCAGCCCTTCATGTTACATGGGTTATCACACATTATTTATCAACAATGAGCCTTAAGTTATGAAAAAGTTAAATGTTGACCCTGTGATCCAATCATTTTGTTTCTAAAAGTATCTAACAGGAAATAACCCTCAGTGCAGAAGATTTTTCAAGAGAATATTCATTCGCTGATGTTCACAAGATGATTAAGAAACTAAAGCTGAACATTTAGAGAGAGCAGAGGTCTGGATGTGCCAGAGCAGGGACAGAGACAGGGTCTAACAGAACTCTAGCCCTGGTGGTATACAGATTCCTGCCGAACAAGGAAGGTGTGAACTTTAGGAGAACACTGTGGCACCCGTGAATTTAACCCCGGTCATATGGCACAGGCCCTGATGTGGGTGAGAAGCCCCTCACAGTCACACAGAGAGGGGAGGAGATGCTGCTGTGTGCCTTAGAGAGTGGAGAGTCATATCTAAAAGTTGGGGTGCCATCAGGACATCTTGGAGTCAAGTCTCTGCCCTAGCATTACTGTGAAATTGGGGAGGGGGTCTTCCCTCTGCTTTACAATGGGACTCACAGGATGCCTCATCTCATGGAGGATTTGGTTCCCTGATGAGGTGTGTCTGAGGAGCCCTCTGCGTCACAGACATACAGTACGTATTTGCTATTATCGTCACTTCCCATGTGGTCCCATCTCGTAGTTGACAGAACACCTCTTCCCATGTCTCCTCTATATAGATTACATATTGTTTTCCTTCATGGCTATGTCCCTAGCTGGCCACATTCTCCATGAACAATACAGGGCATGAGGGCTCTGACATGGCGAGGGTGAGGGGAGAGGGTAGACCAGATGACTGACTTCTGTAAGCAGCAGTGCAGGGCCTACAGGAGGAGATGCATTCTGGATGTCAGTTGTTTGATCCTTTACCCCCACTCTGGTGGAACCACTGGGCCTCTGTCCCCTCCCACCTGACTTCCCTCAGCTGTCCCCATTGCACCTTACAGTTGTTTTTCTACTCCCTCCAGCCTGGACACGTGAAGAGCTGTGAGGAAAACCTATCTGAAATCCAATGGCTGGTGCTGAGGACCCAGACGCCCTCACGGCTCTGTCAGGTAGCTAAGTTCCACTTCTCTGACTGCCTCCAGATCACAAAGGCTCCAAAACAGGAAGAAATGTCGCATCTTTTACTTGTCCAAATCAGGTCCCTTTGGTCTTAGTGGTTCACCTAAGTGTGGTGATTGTGTATATGAGTGTGCTGCCTGTTCTTACTAAAAGATATCCCCAGATGCTCGCGGATTTGAGCGCTTGGTCTCCAGTTGGTGTTGCCATTTGGAGAGGTTATGGAACTCACAGGCCATAGAGCCTTACTGGAGAAAATCCATCCCTGTGTGTGGACCTTTAGAGTTTATAGCTCAGTTGACTGCAGTATGCAAGGTTTAATCCCGGTACTAGGGAGTCTGAGGTAGGTGGGTCTCTGTGAGTTTGATGCCAGACTGTTCTACACAGTGAGTTCCAGGCTGGCCAGTGCTACATAGTGAGACCCTGCCTCAAAAATAAAATAAAATATAGCTAAATAAAATAGAGTTCATAACCTTGCCCCTTCCAGTACATTCTATGATTCTTAGGTGCAGTGGACATGTGATCTCTCCATTTCCAGCACCTGCTTCTGCCCCTTCTCTGCCACTCTGGGCATCTAACCCTGTGGAGCTGAAGGCCAAATGGATCTTCATTAACGTGCTCCTGCGGTGGTGTTTATGATGACTGCAGAGAAGTCATATCCAGCAGGTCTCACCAGAGAGTGGGTGAAGAACCTGACTCTCTCTCTCTCTCTCTCTCTCTCTCTCTCTCTCTCTCTCTCTCTCTCTCTGTGTGTGTGTGTGTGTG